GTGATTCCCGGACGAAAACTTGATTAACGACAAGTCCGTACCCCACCGAACAATCCGTACTCAAGGACGTTCGCGCTAATTGTTTTTGCGCATCCTTACTGCGCACGCAAATTCACACGCCACGTCATGCATGAGAGCGCGCGCTAAATAATAAAATGAACAATGATAGGGCAGATGGCCATTGCTATAGCTTTGCCTGGATTTAACGATCTTGGACGTTCGGTGACCCCTTCTTTTCTTTCCAGAAACAGATTTTATTTACAATTATCTCCACATTGTCCAAAAATGAACAAAAAAGTCAATGTGGGAAGTTAAAAAAAATCAAGATTTCTTTCCACGGGACATTGAATCCTGTCATCTTGCGGCTGCAAGGCGCGTGAAACTATAGTCGCTAAATGCGAACTTGCTCTTTAAGGAACCTCACCAGTTGACTAAATTTACTTAATAGGTGCAGTTAAAGACCCTTAAACAATATTTGGCAGAGAACATTTCACTTCAAAGGTCTAATTGCAATATTTTTGGGCTTACAGACACTGGCCTTATTCGGTAACGAAGCCCGATTCTTCAGATCTAGGGTATTCTTCCGGGCATGTTCTCTCCAAAACGAAGTCGGTGACCCCCCATTTTTTTACATTTCTGACATAACTAACTCATCATCTTACAGTGGTAAAAGTGTCAGAAAAAAATCAATGTTGGAAAATTTTCGCGCGAACGTCCTTAAACTTTGTAAAACCGAAAGAAACTGTAAAAGAATGAATAGCCAAACAAGCACAAAGCAAACGAAAGCCCAGCCGAACAAAAAGACGACTAAGAGCGCAGACAACATCTGTGCTATGAAACGTCTTTTGAAAAACAAAACATATTAAATGACTTTTCACCACATTTCCCGCCATTTCATCTCAGGTAGTTGCGAGAAAGTCGCTTGGGCTATCCACGCATCGCGCGAGTAACATCCTCGGAAGAACTGGGTGCCATGTTTAAAAATAACTTAAGAGGGATTACCTTGGGTATAAGGCAATAGTAAAACAAGAGTAATCAAAGACATAAGAAAATTAAAGTTATTTATCCCCTTGATTTATACGTTTCTCTGTGATAACACAGAGGTAAAAAACACAAAGAAAATCAGAACAAACCAAAACACAAAGACAGAAAGACTGAAACAAGCCTGCAGCAGGAAAGAGGCGAACCGACCAACAAACAAGCAAACAAAAAAGTAAATTAAAAACAAACAAACAAACAAACATGAGACAGTTTCAGTCTAATTTAAATAGCTTCCCGTTTTAACGAAAGATGTTATTGCGAGACCAGAACACAAGTATGAATTAAAATCGAAGTTAATAATAACAACGAAAAAATAATAAAATAAATAAATTAAAAGCCACTTTTTTTTTCGATATTAGAAATAAGAAATTTTACCAAAGAACTCCAAGATTTTGCAGCTAAGATGGTGAGCACATTAAGAGTGGCTGGTGATACGGTAAGGAACTGTACCTAAAATTGATGAAATTATGACAGGTCGTTCAGGTTGAGCTCTATAGTATAAATATCTTATGAACATGCAAACATGAAAGAAAACAAAGGTCTATTCCAGACACCGAGGTAGAACTTGAATGAGAACAAACTGTTATCTTAGTTTCTACTTGCCTCTTTAGGATCCTGTAAAACACTAATCTATATATCTCTTATTTGCCGGCCGGAAGGTCCGTATTGGGAAAAACTATACGGTACAGTTTTTCCCAATACGAGCCGACCAGGGCCGGCAAATAACGTTTTTATTTTTTTCTCTCTCTACGGTATTGCTTTGAAAGAAACTTTTGTGTTGAATTTTAATTAAAGTGTTTGACATTTCGGGCACAAAAAGCAATACTCTTTGCAAGACTCTGTGTTGAATGTTCACATTTTATGTTGTTTTCCGGTGTAACAAAAAGCTTAAAAAGTTGCCAAAGTTGGATATTTCGGAACGGTCCGTACTCGGGGTCCAGATAGGAAAATCCGGACCGCTGGAGCGCGCGCGATTAGCCAATCAAATTCAAGGATTTAGGATTCCTGACCGCTAAGAAACTGGAGAAAAAAATATATCCAGTTATTACTTATTTCATTTAATTTCTGCAACTTTGTCTCATTTTCGTTCTGCTTGACTACCTTCGCCTGTTTAGCTTTATGCACTTGTTGAACTCTCTAACGTGTTAAAGTCAGGATAAGGAAAATTGTTAAGTATGTGCCACTAGATTTGAATAATTAAGGGAAAAAAGCATACTGTTTGCACGCTTTTGCCAAAGTTGACACAGTACAGCAGGTTTTAAAATGTTTTTATCTTTCAGATTCAAACAGAACTTCTACTTCCAGCAAAAGCGGAAGTCCAAAGCATATTTGGAAAAGGAGGATTATTCAACAGATATGATAAATACAGGTGAATATAAAATTGGAGTTTTTATATGCCGTCGATCTTTCCCGTGAGATTATGAAAATATCCTAATATTCGTCATCCATAAAATTATGCTAGATTTCAGGAATAACTTTTTTGTAATCGTGCATATAAAGATGATAAATATGTATGTATTTTTCAGATGGATAACGTTTCTGTCAATCTCTCTCGCCATTGTTTTTGTTGTCTTGTTAACGTTCCTGTCACTCATATCCGGGGCTCTTGGTGCCAGTCCCTCGGATACACCGAGCACACGCTCGGATATTTCAAACTGCGCGGGAAACTCGCTAATGTGGTAAGAAAAACGTAACTTTAATTACATAATAGTCAGTTACTGTTATTGCATTTCTATCGCCCTGAATCGCTTCTTTTTCGCAGGTTATCAGCTCACGATGAACCTATTTTGTTGAAGTATGGGCGCATTTTGTTTTGGAGAATATCCGAGTGATATTCCCCAATGTTCAAAACTGCTCGTATTGCGAAAAATATTTGAAGAATAATAAAAACAATAGCCTACATTTGGCGCGAAAATATGCTCGGGTATTTGCCCGAGGACATTATATGTTCGTCAAAGCTCACAGTGTTCCTCGAGCTACGCCCTCGGAAAACTGTTCTCTTCTTGACACAGATAATGTTCGAGGACAAATATCCCAACATATTTTCGTGCCAAATGGACGTTATTGTTTAGAAATTTACTACACGACCTCTGCAAAATGTTCCCAAGGAAAGTCATATATATTTTGATGCCTTCAGTCCTAACATTCAAGCGGAAGTGCAATTTTTCATTATACAAATGTACTTCCAAAATGTCTTTATTCTTTTTTTCTTTTTTTTTTTTTTTACCTTTAGCGTTGTTGGACTGTATTTCTTCAGTGCTTTCTTCATAAATCTTATTCTCGCTGTCACATTCTTCATCGGAGCAAACTCAACTGTCCTCTGCAAGTCAGCCGCTGATCTGAGCCTGCTGGAAAACGTAAGTAACTAAAATAGTTATGGATCAGCAGTAGGAAGGCTTGACCCTTTAATATCTATTTTGCTAAAGTTAGGTAGCTTATCAAGGTACGAAAATCTTCCATAAAAGATTGTGTGTAGCTATGTTTACGTATTCAGGATCTTCTTTACTGTTAACCAGCGGTCGTAAACACGTTTCTCGGCCGCTGGTCAATGAGAACGAGATTCTGGGCATATGATTTATGGTAGGACGCATTTAGTCGCTTTCCCCTTTACCCCCTTAAATGTTAACCGCAAGCAAACAGCAGTAAATAAATGCTAACCGCAAGCAAACGGCTGTAAATAAAACCAAACTATTTAATATGTCCTACCATGAATTACATCCTAGATTCTGGCTTGAGATTCAACAAGAAAGTTAACAAAAAAATGTGTCCTTACTTTGTTTCAGACTATAGATGATCCTTCAACGCTTGGATATTATCCTGTCTCTAAAGCTGTATTAGGAAACGGAATCATCGACATTCGACTTTCTGATATACTCAGGTAACTGTAAAAATGCTACAAGCAAGGGAAGAGGCTCTAAGGCCCCGTTCACACTAAGCTGGAGGAATTTGAAAACGGAGGTTTCACTCTAAAAACGCATCAAATGTTTTCCGTCCACACCAAACCGCAGGAATTTAACGCAGCAACAACAACAACAAGGCAACAATCACCGATCGATTATTTTGGATTTGTGTTTGAGGAAAACTCGGTCAGGGAAATCACATGCTTATCGTGACGTCATCGTTTTCGAAAAGTTCCGTTTTCAAATTGTTTTCCGTCCACACGAAAACGAAAAGCCTGCGTTTTGAAATTTTTCCGGTTTGAAGAGCGTTTTCGAAAAGCTCCGTTTTCGCGACAGATTAGTGTAGACAGTAGGCCTAACCGTAGTTCGTAGTTCTTTTTTCACCTGCAAATCCTTTTGCAGAGGCAATGGAAATTTTGAATTTTGGCTTGTTGAAGTCTTCATTACTAACCGGTTTAAGTGGCCCCGGGGGTTGGGACACACACATATGAAATGGTCAGGGATGTTCGTCGTAAAATTTGAATTAAACCCCTAAAGGAGACTAATCTGGGTGTGGCTAGAACTTTATTTCACCTTAAGTGAGACCAGAATCTTTGATTTATACCCTTAAGGGAGACGACGAGCATTCAAGACCTTTTGATATAAGGTTCCCCCCAGGGTAAATGACGTAGTCTTAGCTTCAAGACTTACTCAAGATATTTTGTTTTCCATATATGTAAAATTTCACCTCTCTCTCGCAAATTCATGATCTTCCCTTCTCTCCTCGTGGAGAATGGGGCTATCAATCAGTCTCCTCCAAGTAACTCGTTCTTTTTCGGCCACCTCTGCCTCCTTCCATTTCGCACATTACAAGTGAGTAAAACATTAAGAATGACATAAAGAATGTTTGGATGAACGCAACTAAAAACCGGGAAATGGTTTGCAAGATAAGGCTCAAAGAACTAAATAAAACCATGTTTTAAATAATTTCTTTTTCCTGCTTTGATCATATGTTTGATTTACAGGAGATGCAGCCAAACGGAAACACCCTGGGAACTACTGCAACTTGACAGCAAATTCAAGTTTCAAAACATGACAAGTTACAGAGATGTAAGTCTAGTTACAGTGTTTAAGAATTATAAGTCTCGTGTACTTTTACCTTCCGTAATAGTCTTAATCTTGACTCGTATCGGCCAAACAGATCCTTTTTTATATTAGGTTTAGCTTCCTTGGTGTAATACACTTATGCCCTATACACACTAACTAAACTAGTTTAGCTAAACCAAGTTTAAGTGTTTCCAATTTGTCGATTATGCCGCTTTGCAGTCATTTTAAGAAGACAAATTTCAAACAACCTTGCTAACATATTTTAATCAAATAGGGTTTTACCGGGTGAAGTAGTAGGGTGTGCAAGGTTTGAGCCACTATCTTTTAACCTTATTTAGTTAAACCACTTTTAAACACTACATGTTTAATATGTTGGTGTGAACAGGGTATTAATCTCGTTCATTTCAAGTTTTAATCCGGTTCTCTCCATTTCAGTTGTATTTCATTCAGAGTTGTCATCCTATTTTGACAGTAAAAGTTTACTATTACTTGGGATACTAAATTGGTCGTGGCTAGTCTTAGCCACAAACAAGACCAGCCACGAACAATGTACCGTCCTATCTTAACACTAGTTAACATGTTATAGACTGCTTTCAAATGAAATCTTCCCCTTTTAATTTCTAAGTACAACCGAGGACGCTTTACGCCTCAAGAAGTTTCCATTGCTCGAGCCATCAAATAACATGTCGTTATTTATTGAACAGGTTTACCATCGTTATGTTTTACCCTTTTCCGTAACAGAAAATACCGCCAATGGATGAGATTCTGGCTGAGATAAACGGCACCATAACAGACGTGGAACTTGTGTCAAATGACACCAGGAAAGCGATTAATGATACTTTTACTTCTGGTGTCCAGGAAATCGAGTTCTTCAAATATTCAATCGAGGTAAAAAGAGACCAGAATTTTAACATAGAACATCGAGAGATTCAATCTGCCTAGTTGTGGTTTTAGATAATTTAAAGAGTTTTGTATATACTTGATTTAAGATTATTAGATTTTTAGATTTTCATCGTAGTTTTTCTGGTTACAGTTTATCGATATTATAGTCTTTAGTACGAACGACCCCACGAGCTTTTTAGCTTTAATTCTCATCGTTAAAATAAAGGCTATCTGTCGACAGATCCTCTATATAAGATCATCAAGAGTGCAAGAATAAAAGGTGGGATGGGGATGGGTGGGTGGGTGTGTGTGTGGGGAGGGCAAAGAAGTATTGAGATTGACATAATTGATTATTAAAGCTTACACCATGGAAATGTAATGAGTGCCGATGGGCTACAATTTCACTGAGGTATAAGACTTTTGCCTTGTGCACTTTCAATACCCTACAGAAAAAATTAAAAGTTTTCGAAAAGTCAGGCAGCAATGACTGTCCATTTTCAATTCAAACTCTCGCTCAGGCTTTTAAAATCATTTGACTACTATTTTAAATTGTTTTGTTTATACAGACAGGGCTACCCCTGACGAAGAACAATTTGTCGTTGACAACTTTTGCGAACGACGTGGGAACAGCGGCTGATAGTCAGGCAAGTAGCACTTTTGGCATATAAGCAAAGAAACAAAGAAACAAACAACAAACAAATAAACAAACGAACAAACAAACAAACAAAATACAAACGAACAAACAAACGAACGAACAAAAAAGCAAACATACATACAGACAGGCATTCAGACGGGCAGTCAAACAAGGAAAAAAATAAGGAAAAAAGGTTAGAACATGTAGCTGTTTTTAGACAAGACTGAGTCGAATCCGTGATTAGTTTAAATGTCTCGCGCCACCTCTATCAATCAGGAGCAAGAACAAACCAATCGCCGTCGCCTTAGTAACCCCCGTTTTCCCGCGTTTGTCGTCGGCTACGTATCGTTGCTCCGAGTTCTCATTGGTTCCTTGTGTTGGTTAGAAAGTTGGTTGTAATAACTGCTTTAGTTTTGGTTAAGAAGCTCATTAGAAGCCGCTCTATACACAGTAAAAACAGACATTAATCTTAAACAAAAAAGTGTCTTGAACTGATATTCTCGAACCCAAAAATGGGAAAGAAATAAAGGCATCAAAACAGAAGAAAAAGTTTGTCGAATTACATTACAAACTAAACTTTGAACTCTTAAGTTTCCCCTTTCTCAAGTTCCTAGGTTTAAAACTCAACTCATGAATTTTAGTATTTAATGAATTTTAGTATTTTATAATCCATTGTAATTTAATATATTTTCCTTATATTGGTTTCGTTATCGTTTTTCTTATTTTTATTCTGTAAGAGCATTGAGATTTTTTAATGTAATGCGCTAGAAATAAATTATTATTATTATTATATTCGTTCCTGTCGAGTCTATAAAAAAGACTCTTTGCGAACTTGCGAGATATTTGCTCCGAATAACAGCCTCAGCCATCTTGACAAGGTTTTGTTGCAATATATTGAATAGCAATGTTTTTTGTCTCCTTTAGGTGTCTGCAGGAATTGAAGAGAAATTACGTTTGACTAAGGACGCTTTGAATAACTTACATGACGAAACAATTATAATATCACAGCCTCTAGTGGTAAGAAGACAGCTTAATACTTCTGTCTCGTAAAATGTCGTTGTTTCTTTTGTTAAATATTAGTTAATCGTTTCTTATTTTTGTTTCCTTCAGGGTGAACTGGCTGAGAAATCGCAGCTTTTGATGACGAAAAATATGAATGTATTGGTACGGAAGATATTGAAATTTTTGCCTCACTTGGTTCTTCATAAATAAGTGTTTTTTTAACTATACAAAACAAATTACAGAAAAAATTTACAATTTATACGTACACATTACTTACACATGACAGAAGGTACTAAATTTAGTGCAATTTCTCGCTCTGTAGTTATTTTTGTCTTTATTTTTCATCTGTCGAAGAACGAAGCTAACAAGATTGACCTTCTACGTGAAAGGCTGAAAATTATTTTGGAAGGCGATGGCTTAGTTTTGGCCAATGAGGTTTGTATACCGTATGCAATTTTCAAAGTGGTGATTTTCTTTTCTCTCCCCTTTTTCAAGCTTTTAAAAGTTTCAGGTAGCCATGGTTGTTGACTGAAAATTGTGTTTGGTGTGCACCAAAAATATGAATCTTAAAACTGCTAGGGTTATTGGATCGGAAATGCTTTTTATCAGTTCCCATTCCCTTCCCTATTACCATACTATATCAATGACTAATTCATTATTAGTTCTGAGTATTAGCAACTGCTTTCATTTCTTGTACAATCAGCTTGGGTTTTGTTGTCGTTTGTGGTACATGCATAACTGACGTATAAAACTCTTTTACAGATGTCTAAAGCCAGAATCGTAACCTGGYCATTTGTTTGTAAAGATTACCTTGCCATTCTAAAATTTAGCTTTATGCTTCCCATTGCACAAGATTATTCGTAACGTAATGCGGAACGCTGCTCGCCCGTGCGCTTGCTATAATCAAAAGGCAGTTTCAACCTTGTGTGAGTGAAGACGATCAAGAATCACTTATCATGAATGAAACCTTTAGCCTTCACAAAAAGAGCTATTGCTTTGATTTCACTACAGGCAGGAAAAAAGTCCTTGAGTCGTACACTTGGCTGGATGGATCAGTATTTAGAAGACGCTATAAATAAGGTAATAACTTAACTAATTAAGTCTGAATTACCTTGTGATGTGCTAACGAGGGAAAAAGGGCTCATATAGTACTCCCTGAAGAATTGGGTGGAGGTGCGCGGCTGGTTTCCCAAAACCCTTACCCTATTTATGATTTTCCCCACCTTAGTTATGACCTGATCAAAAATTCGATACTCTATTAAGGTGCAATTTTTTCATACTTTGCCACATCATGAAAATGATATTGCCTGACACTTTGAGTTGGTAAAAAGTCAAGGTTGTTCGGACGGTTTTTCAGTATTCTGTAATTTGTCATTCTTCTAAATATATTAGATTAGCTCTGACATATTTTAACAAAACTAGGGTATTTAATAGGAATTGTATGTGCTTACAACTGAGCCAAATTAAAAAAAAAATTCACTGAAGGAAACGCAAGAAAATTCACTGTCAGTGTTGCTTTTCGTGCTCATGTTGACGTCATAAAAATCGAAAAACACTGACGTTTTCCTTTGAGCGCGCGCAGATTACTTGAGCTTTCGTCCTATGCGCACGTGCAATCGTAAAACTATAGGGAGACCTAACCCCTAAATCAAAATCCTGTTTCAGATAATTAGTTTACTAGTTAACACCTATGTTAAATAAAGGCATTGCGAAGGGCTTTTGTTGATGGCCTTATCGATAATGATGAAAACATAGCTTCTGCTAAAAAACATACCAATTCAAGACTACAGTACAAAAGCCATACCCTATTTGAAACCAAAATGGTCAAAAACGACATCCTATTTCTGAACAAAACAGCTTAAAAATCATACCCTTTGGGATCACCTATACCTACATAGCTCATATAAGGGAATACTTCCCCCCCCCCCGGGGGAAACGGAGGAGCAGAAAAAAATATTTGATAAATGGCCTATTTAGCCTACAGCACAATGGAGTGACATGATCTTATAATTTCAAAAACTGAACAGAGCTTCCTACTGAAAGCAGGACGACATCTGTGCTGAATCTGACGCCCTGTTTTTTTACTGGTATTTTTAGCTTCGAAATGACGTAGGAGATTGTCATCCAATCAGGAATGTCTATGACGTATTGATATCTGATGTGTGTGGTATTGCTGTGAGCCTGGTGGTGAGTATAACATCCGTGCGAGTCATAACTGCAAAGAGTGATCTAGATCTAATTACTCCTTACAATCTCACTTCATCAGTAAGCAAACAGGTAAGGAGAATCCCTGGCTTGGGACGCCTAAAGTTGGACCTGAAAAATTCCACGCTAAAAATGTAGCCCTACAAAGATCCGTGTAATTTCTTGTTGCTGATTGTTAACTGGTGCAGAAATTCATTAGCCAGTTTCAACCGCTATAAGACACTACAAGGATCTCTGTAGGAGTTTCGCTATCAAAAAGAAATTTATCGGGTCAAGTCTGTAAAATGGGGGAAGCATCGAGCACGAGAAGTGAGAAGCTCTCTTCACTAAGGTTATAAGGGTAAACGAGATGCGCATTGATATGTCAACCAAGAGAAGACGAAGGGTGAGAGAGTTTATCCTTCACATGGACCTTATTGCAAAGTAATCCCTTTCAAGCTATTTTAAGATCACTCCTGGCTAAGAAATACTAGAAGGACTAGAAATAGCCAATCCTGTGACGTGCATTTCAATCACGTGGACAGCCTAAGCAGCTTTAGACGAATTTTCATCCTCCACGAAAAAATGGTAACTTTATCCGCGGGAGGACTGGATACCATACCTAAATATAGCTTGAGAGGATTAACTTAGAATAAGGCCTATATAGGAGATTAATTAACTCAGCCTTTCCCTTCATCCACTCCTGTGCCAACTGGATGACGATACTTTGCTGTTAAATAAGGAATTAAAGTGTTCTGGAGATGTTGTGGAGAGTTTTCTACTTACCAGCATTTATGACCTCACCATTGCCTCTTTTCTCCCCAGAATGCCTTGTGGCTGTGCCTCGGTGTCATAGCAATGTTCTCATTAATCACCGTCATCCTTTGCGTGCGTCTTGCAAAACATTTGCGGAGGGCGAAGACTGGGGAAGATATTTATTCTGAGGAAAGTACATCAAACTACGGGGTTCCCCTGAGGATGTTTGACAAATTCCCAAAGTTGAACAAGAAAAAGTTCTCATGGTATGTACGCTTCATTCACAAGAGCATATGTCTTTTCTGGTGGATTGGCAGTTGGCTCTTTATGGTGTGATTGTGCGATCGGAAAAATTCCGCGAAACTGTTTGATGATTTTCGGAAAATGTGATTGACATCTTCCAAATGGAAGAAGGTTTCAGAAAAAAGTAAATGTGCCAGACTAAATGATATTAATGTTGAGACAAGACATTCGCGTGATACTCCTTGGGCCTCTTTTGAATAAGGCACGCGTGATCATTAAACATATAGTATTCAATATTAATGGGAGATCGATCACTTTTTTCTTAGTGACCCCTGAGAAACATCGCACACTCTTCAACGTGATATAGGATTTTCTGGCTGTATGCAGGCTTTGTAGCATGCCTAGAACTGATTGCAATGTCGTTGGTGTGTAGTTTGCTGTTCAGAGTAACGAATGCTCGTGAATAGTGGGGTTAAGATGGTTTCTTGCTGTGCTGGTTATAAAATTAAAACGGATTGGTAAAGATCGGAGCTTTACGTTTAGAAACCTTTTATGTTCCTTTGAAATGAATACTTGATTGGTTATCAGTGCCGTTATAAGTGACGTCACAATAACGGGCTTAATGACGTCACCGGTTTTACGCGCGCGGGAGGAGGAAGCATTATAAAAATAACATACGAAATTAACGAACAGTTCGGCTCTTTGGGGATGTTTTGTTAGATAAATCAGACTATAAATAAATAATTTAAGAGCAAAGAGGTGAATGAGAAAATAAATAAACTAAACAAACAAGAAAATATACAAATGATTTATTATAAAACACGATATGGCAAGTCAAACCCGCAACTAATTGTAGAGACATAGTCGTGCTAAAATTTGTTCATTTTGTTTTGCTAATCCTAAATATAGACAATAAGACAAGAATATAAATCAATGCGTCACTCATTTCAAAAGGTTCCCAAGCATTAGCCTTACGCATTAATTAAGTGGCTTTTCCTTCATCGTTAAAACATAAGGATATAAATCAATAAAATATAAAATACCATCTTTATATTTGTCTAAAATAAACAGGAGAAAACCTTCATCGCCCCCAGACTCTCCTCCAGAATCGACAAGTTGGAGTAAATATTGACGGTAAGTTTGAAAGGAAAATGCGCCGAGTGGTAAAGACTGACATGCTGTGGTAGAAATTCAAATATAAACAAATTTAACTTCAGTTAAGCTTGAATTAATACCTCTTTGACGTTTTGGTATATTTTGTTAACAATTATGAGGCGTTTTGGTTAATTTGAAGGCAGTTTTGTTAACGAAATATGGACTAATGCGTTGTTGCGAAGTTCCCTTCGTAAATAACATTCTGCACCTAGATAAAACCAAAATACAGGCGGCATGCTAGCATGCATAGGCTGTCCTTTCAATACTTTTATGCGTAATAAGCGCCCCTGGTGCCGTCACTTTGTTAAAATATTAGATTTGTTTAATCTAGCTTAAAGCAGTACGTCACGTCATGATTTACGTCACGATTTGCGATTTGATTCTTGAAAAGATTAGCCTAAATTTTTGAAGTCCGTCGTTTGTAATCCCTGTCAATCTTCTCCATCCTTAACCATCTTTGTTCCTGTATGGTTTATTATTTTTGTGGCGTTTTCCTATCTTAGTAAACTACTATTTTCAAGTTTCCTTCAATTTTAAGGTAATTTTGTACATGGCCCAAAATTAACTCAAAATATTGTGACTGAGGTCCTTTAAAAAGAGATCTTGGGCTCCCTTAATTTGTCACAAGAATGGGCCAATAGAATTGTACGTGATTTGCCAGTTGGTGTAATTTTCGTGGATGTTCTTGTTTACATGCTAGGTATGAACTCGAGATGGAAGAACCAGTATTACACCCGGAGACGCAAGTCATCCATCGTGTACCTTTAGCCATAACAAGAAATGCTGTAGTGCCCGTAGTCACCGATATATAACAATAATATTGCGCAGCGTTATGTTGAAAGAGAACAAAGATAGTGGTATATAGAAAGAAACCTCTTTCTTGGTCTTTATCCCTCGCGTTGTTTCGGGTTCCGAACATGAATTGTGCAGGTAGGGATGAGAAAGAAATGCACCTTTTCACCTTTCAACTAACGTCATCTTTTCAAACTTTTTAAATTTATAATACTTTTTTGGAAAAAAGAAATGCGATACAGAACAAACTTGATGTTTCATATCGAAAATAGGTGTTCTTAAAGGATGTTTCAACTTTTAAAATAGCTTAACTGTTAGAATTTCCCAGCACCAATGGAAGCTGAATATTTCTCAGAAAAGTTTAAACTTGACTATGGTAAAGTAGTTAGAATATTTTTGAATATAAAGAGAACAGCAAGAAACAATTATTATCTTCTTGAAAGACTCTGCAAGTTGCAGAGTAATAAGAGCAAGTCTGCGAGGTACCCTGGTATACATAGTTGTTGATTTATTAGCAACAGAGAAAATTCTAACTTGTATGATCATAATTTCAGTTAATGTTAAGTTTAACGGCTTTCAAGTATTTTTGTCAAATGTCAATATAGAATGTTAGTTTTTTTTTTCACCCATGCTCAATCTCACAAATTTCACGAGCAATTACTTTAGTATCTCGATTTAAAACAGTTTTTTTCTTCACTGAAGCATTTATAAGATTTTGTATAGTATATACTTATTCATTAGGATTTCATGTATTTTATATTGCAAAACGTATTAATTATGAAGTTCGTATTATAAAAATTTCGGGAGTGGCAATCTTTCAAATGTTCCAGAAATATGTCTAACCTACTTTATCTTTAGGAAAAAAGTAGAGGGCGGGTATGTGGGCAAACAGTAACTTTGAAAAGACTTAAGCACTACAAAAAAGAACTGAGTCATTTTTCAAACTCAATATTATACTGAAAAGTAGTATATAATGAAATTGTGGTAAAGATATTGAGGAAGGATCGAGTTTAAAACCGATCTGTATCTTTTGTACTACAAGACGTATTAAAATATTATATTTAATAATATTATTATTTTGATTTATCTTGTTTATGCTGATAAATTTTGAAAAGCACACCGATGCCCAGATCTCTCTACGGAACTCGCCTCCAGGAAATCAAGATAGTTTTATTGTCAAGTTTTAGTGAAAACTGCCACATTTTTCTGTTGACACATATCGTGTTGCATAAAGTGGGAATTGAAGTGACTAGGTATATATAACCCGGTTTTGTTAAACAAAAATACAAATTGTCTGATGCAAGAATTATTGTAGAATAGAATATCCCAGGGACCCCTGCTTCGTTTCTAAAGCGTCCTTGTATTTTGTCCCTGAAGAAAAACGGGGGGGGTGGGGGTTGGGGGAGGAAGAGAAGGCGAGGCTGGAGTGTGCAAGCGTCCCAGAGGTCTGAGCATATCACTCTCCAACAACAGTTACAGATGAGTAAGATGCAATGCTACGTGTGAAAGACCGGTGATCATTTTTATTGCCATTTGAACTGTTTAACAGCTTTATGGTAATGTATATTACTGAGAGATTCTGCAGGTCCTAAAATGAAGCAGCAAGAGAGTTTGAATCTCGGCGCTGGCTTCGACGAACCCTGGTCGTCCTTGCTCTGACGACAGAGACTGGGTCTTACTCGTCTCCAGTGTCCTTGAGCATTTGGAATCCTGCCAGTGACTTGTCTTCCATGGCGTTTCTGATTGACAGCAAGACACTGGACACGATGGCCAATCCAACAGTGAAGTACATGATACTCATGACAGTAAACATGACCACATGCCACGTGTAACCGTCCGCATCGCGATTGGGCGACGGGTGCAGCGGGACGAAATCTCCAAAGCCAATCGTCGTAAGTGTTATAAACCCGAAGTAAATCCCGTCCAAGTATCTCCAGCCCTCTAGGTAACACCCGAATAAGCCTATAATTAAAACCATCAACACGCTCAAGGCCAGTGTGATGACTGCAGTCTTGATCCCGATTCCTGAAGGTTTCTTTTGAAGGACCCGCTCGTGGCAGCATTTTAGTGCTCTACTGATCCAATCGTTGATGTGCTGCGCCAGAGTTGACAACATAAGCCAGGTCAGTGGTATTCCAACCAAGGCGTACAGGATACAGAATATACGGCCTTCGTCTGTGCAAGGGGTCACGTGACCGTACCCTAGTGATGGAGGAATAGGTCACGTTCGATATTACGATATATCAATATTCTTACAAGCTTCGAGGCTTTCAGGACAAACTTCCATATTTTATTTGGACGGGTGCTTTCTTTATGTCCAAGTCTCCTTTGGGAATTGAGAGACAAAGGAGATTCAACAAATTTGCAATTTTCTCCTGAAAGCCTCGGAGCCATGTCAGAATTTTGATATATCAACCGTGGCCTATTAATTATTATTGTTTCCTGTTTTCCATTTTTTACTGTGTGAATTTACCTTATTAGTGTAATTTTTACTCTTTTTACTAACTTTATATTGTGAAGCGCATTTGAACGTTACTTTATGAAATTTGAGCTATATAAATATATTGTATTATTATTATTATTTTATTATTAATAGCTACAATGATCAACGGGGAAAAGGCAGAGTAAGAAAAACCGTCTCCATGGCAAATTTAATTTTTCTCTTTTTGCCAGAGCAGTAGTACTTAAAATTTTAAAATGTGACATAAAATGTGACTATGAGTCTCGTGAGATCTCATCAAGTTCAAGATGGCTGCCTGTGTTAGATCCGAGTGGTCGCCATCTTGGATTTCAATACCGAGATGCGAAAAGTAACCTTATAGTTTGCCAGAAAGCAAATTCTGTAAAATTCTCTGGTCAATATTAGATAAAGACTGGATTTCATGGCTATTGAACTTGTAAGAGTTTCTCCTACACATTTCTCTAACTATGTGGAGAATAGTCCCCCCTACATTGATAATGATTTTTTTCAATCTGCTGATTATTAAGTTTGATGATTATGTTTACGTTTTTAATTTTTCCTCTTTTATTCGGGTTAGAAAGCTATGTAATATATCTTAAGTCGACTAAAGGAAGAAATGATATCTTATCTAAGGGAGGATGAAGATTAGGAGAGCTTATCTCCCATAGAAGCCTTATTTCTGAGATAATCTCGCTTAAGTTATTTTTAGATTACCCTGAAAGATTCCTGTGGACAGCTCAAGCGCCTTTACACGCATTTTCATCCTTCACAAAAACATCTCCGCAACGGCGTGGTAAGGTTATTCGCAGGAGGACTGGGTTCCATATCTAAAATAGAAAGGCTTTATGGGGGATGTACCTTCTTCATCAT